CAGCCTCTGCGCGGCGGGACCCACCGACGGACGGACGCTCGCCGCCTCAGAGCGCGGGCGCTGCAGACGCCCCAGCCCAGCCCGCCGCTCTCCCCACCCAGCCGCCAAGATGGGGGTAGGTGCCGGGGTTCGGCAGGTGACACGGGGCAGGGTCTGTGTGCGCGGGGAGGGAAGGGGGGGCTCTGGGGCCGCTGCGCCCCCCTCTCCCGGGCCTGGACGGGGGTCTGTGGCGCAGGTGGGCCTGGCTTTGTGTGCTGGAGTCCGCGGGGTCGGGGCGGACCCTTCGCATCGCCCGCCTGACCTTGTGCGGCTGCACCCCGGCTGCCACGGCCCGGGCCGTCCGTGCCCCCCCTCCCTCCCCCGGCGTCCCAGCCCCTCCCCCGCCTGGGTGTGCCCGAAAGCCGAAGTAGTGTGTCTGGGGGTGGGGGTAGGGGTTGAAGCCCCCACCCAACCCCCCTCCACCACTCCGGGATCCCCTGGTGGGATGGGAATTGGTCCAGGCTGTGGGGTGGACATCGGATGACCTCTCTGTCTCCTTCCAGGCCTGGATGGAGGGGGGGGGCGCTCCACTGCAGGGGTCCCTAGTCTAGGGGAGCAGACACGGGGCAGGGGGGGCAGCGCTGGGAGGAGGGTGTGGATCAGGAATGGCGATGCCTGCCCCCACTGAGTGCCAGGCTGAGTGTGTGCTCCCGTGCCAGAGTAGCGAGGGAATGTGCCCGCCCGCCATGCCCTTGCCTCCGTGTCCGTGTGTCCTTCTCTGTCTGTGAGTCTTTCCAGCAGATGCCGCCTTCTCCTTCCCTGGTTGACCGCCTGACCCTTGCTGCAGCCCTGGATTTCTCCTTGTGTGTCTTGGGCGGAACCTGGGGGGTGGGGGATGCAAGGTGGGATGCAGAGAGAGAGAGACAGACAGACAGAGACAGAGACAGAGTCAGGGTGGGAGAGGTCGACTGCAGGGAACCAGAGGGATGGGGAGAAAGATGGCGGAGGAGAGTGGAGATGAGAGTTGAAGGGCCTAGGGATGGAGGTGGGGGTGGGGCTGCAGATCTGTGGGTTGGGGCGGGTGAGGGGGGATGGGAAGAAGAATTGGGTTGGGGGAGGGGGGAGGACCAGGGCAGAGAAGGGAGAGATGGGAGCCAGGGATGGCTTTCAGGTAAGTGAATTGGAGGCAGGTAGTGTGGGAAGATTTCGGGGAGCAAGGATTGGTACTACAACGCCTTAGAGAAGAGGGGGGCTCTTAAGAAAAGAAATGGGGGCAGGAAGGGAATCAAAGGGCTTGGGTACAGGAGAAAGACAGACTTAAAGAAAGCTGGGAATGGACAGAGACAGAGGGAAAACAGAGACAGAGTGCAGGCAGAGAGACATGGAGAGATACAGAGGGACAAAGAAAGGCAAAATGAGAAACTGAGGCAGAGATAGAGAGCCCCCAAGACAGGTCTTT